TAATATGAATGCATTAGTGAGACAGCGATTGCGTGTGTGAATTAATTCTACATGGCAGCGTCTCTCTACTACTGAAGCTGTGGGATTTAGTTAAGAAATATATGCTTGAACTTTTCAGTTTCTAAGCTATTTTATTGAGAAATCACAGAACAGTGTTGACAATACATTTTCGCGCTAAATGATTCTGTTTGCGCGATCTGTATGCGCTACTGTCCTATGTGTACTATGTGTGTGCGTTACAGTGCAGCAGCACATTAGATTCGAACGGCGATTAACTTACCTGTAAAATAAGCTGTTTAAAATGTGCATTCCCCCGTTCAATTTCAAGCATCCAGTAATATAATCACACATGTCTTGTGGAGCGCTTTCAGAGTATGCATTTATTTGTCATTTTAACTGTTTGGAAACAGAGCGTAAATGTGGAAGTCCTTCACAGATTTCTTATCCTGCTGCGCCCTTTATAGGACCAGCGACTAGTCAACATCAAGCTTAAAGCATCATGGCAGAGCATTGAAGTCGACTAGTCGGTGCAACCCCTAATATATATCTAACCTGTATATCTCTCTATCTATCTATCTATCTATCTATATAGACAGATATAGATAGAGATATGCTTAGTAAAAATATGCTTAGTAAAAGTATTAATTCCTTGAAAAATTTATATTTGTCAAGGAATTAATACTTGCTCTACACATTAAATTATGTCCTTTACTATTACTGCTCCTGTGGCCTTGAGTAGCTTCCTGTAAAGTCTTCCCAGAAACAACTGCTCTTATAGCTGATAGTCATAATATTATGTCTGGAGTGGTTTAACTGTTATAAAAGAGTTTGTGCTGGAGTAAAACAGCTGTTAGTTTCACATTACCGGTGTCTTGTCCTTTCAGCACGTGTTTTTCACATAGGTAAGTGGTGAGATCTTCCTCCTGGCTGCCTTTATACCAGTCTTCAATGACTTCTTCATACTGCTCTACCATCACATCACACTGAGGGAACAAAACACAAATCTCATACTTCCCATGTACCCGTACATATGCTGCACAAACATGCATTTACATACATTGTTTTTATTTGCACTCCCAAAGTTATAGCTTAAAAAAGAAGAATTATTACATTATAAGAATTATAAAATAAGAATGATTACAAATTACATAAAGAATTATTATCAATGTTGAAAATATTTCTGCTGATTAATATTTTTGTGAAAACTGATGCATTTTTTTTTTCAGAATTCTTTGATTAATTGGAATAACAGCTTTTATCTGAAATAGAAATATTTTGTAATATTATATATGCCTTTACTGTAACTTTTGATCAATTTAAAGCATCCAAGCTGAATAAAAATATTAATTTATATAAAAAAAAAAGTAACTTAATGACCCCAAACTTTTCAAGGGTAGTGTAAATATAGTTACATTTCAGCAAATTTTTAATTAATCACATTAGTGAAAATTAGCTTGTGTTTTACTCACCCTCAAAGCATCCTAGGTGTATATGACTTTCTTCTTTCAGACGAATCCAGTCGGAGTTATATTAAAAATTGTCCTTGCTATTCCAAGCTCTATCATTGCAGTCAGCAGGTGTTGCAGTTGAACAGTCCACAAGTCGTCAAATAAAGCGCGCGCATTCATAATAAAACGTGCCGCAGACGGTTCCGGGGGATGAATAAAGGCCCCCTGTAGCGAATCCATGTGTTTTTGTAAGAAAAATATCCATATTTCAAATGTAATAAACACTTTTCTCTCGCTTCCGCTGACTGTCATACACTGAAGCAGTTCCGGCGGATGACGCACCATGTATGCGCAGCGCGCCTCTGAGGTATGCTAGTCTCGCGAGTTTGTTTATAGGAGCAAAGGAAGCAAAGTTTTCTTACTTTAGCAAAGGAAAACCAGTCTCCTCTTGGTTTATATCGAAAGCCTCCGACATTTTTCTTTGCAAATCCTCAGTTTGTACTTGTAATTCGTGACCGGCGTTTTGTTTTGTTCTCTCTCCGCATTCGTCACTAATCACGCAACGTCCTACATCATCCGTCGGAACTGCTGTATGACAGATAGCGGAAGTGAGAGAAAAGTGTTTATTACATTTGAAATATGGATATTTTTCTTACAAAAACACATGGATTCGCTACAGGGGGCCTTTATTCATCCCCCGGAGCCGTCTGCGGCACGTTTTATTATGAACGCGCGAGCTTTATCTGACGACTTGTGGACTGTTCAACTGCAACACCTGCTGACTGCAATGATAGAGCTTGGAATAGCAAGGACAATTTTTAATATAACTCCGACTGGATTCGTCTAAAAGAAGAAAGTCACATACACCCAGGATGCTTCGAGGGCAAGTAAAACGCAGTCTAATTTTCATTTTTGGGTGAACTAACCCTTTAAAAAAAAAAAAAAACTTAATGACCCCAAACTTTTCAAAGGTAGTGTAAATATAGTTACATTACAGCAGATTTCAAATTAATCACATTAGTGGCCAAATTTAACCCTCTAACAGGCATAATTCTAAGATTTTTCAGTCACTCACATACCTGTTTTTTGAGATCTGCCACTTCTGCACTGGTCTCATTCCACAGTTCATAAGGAATGTCCATGACCACCTTCACGCCTTTATTAACCAGGTTTTGTAAGGTAGAGAATGTCTCAGACATACCCTGAGCAGAGCAAGACAAATGATCTCACCAGCTATAATGCAGTATAACATCACAGCATACAGTAAAAAAAATTCAGACTTAAACTCAATATTGCATACAGTACATACTACACATCTACTACTACACATTTTCTACTAGATTAATTATCAGTTAGAATTTCAAAGCTTATTTTTCACATTGCATTTATTATATGAAATTGCCATTGCAACTTGGGGCATTCATTCACAAAAACAATTCCAAGTCTTATTCACTCATAAACCAAAAAAAGTAAAATCACTGAAGTAGTGCTGCAAGAAGAAAAGGAAATGTGGTAGCCCACCTTTGCAAAGCGATTACTTCCATCTCTCTCTTTGTGTAGATTGTACTGCATAATCCTTGAGCAAACATTCTCCACCACCTCTATGAAACGAATATCACTGAAAAGCAAAAGACATTGCTTAATAAAATGCACAAGTCACACTGCATCCAAAAACAGTATGACATGGTTACTTAATGGTACTCCTGCATTTCTAGACTAGAATTAGTGAAAGAATATTGTTAAAGGGGTCATATGATGCGATTTAAATTTTCAGAAAGGCGGGGCATAGAGGAGAAACAATAATGTACAGTATGTGGAAAATAATGTGTTTTTTTAACTTTAAACCGCATAAACACATTTCATTACACCAAATACACAAAATAATGTTCTTTTTAGCAGCATCATATGACCCCTTTAACCAAACAGTTGACACTAGCCATTGATTTCCGTAGTATGGAAAAAAAATACCATGGAAGTCAATGGCTACCGTCAACTGTTTGGTTAACAACATTCTTCAAAATATCTTCTTTTGTGTTCACCAGGAGAAAGAAATTCATACAGGTTTGGAAAAAGTTGAGGGTAAGTAAATGATGACAGAATTTTCCTTTTTGGATGAATGATCCTTTTAAGGTCAAAGTTTGCATTAAGAAAAAAAAGTGACTTACGATTTGACATATTTGATTGGCGGTGCACCTTTATCATCCAGGAAGCGGTAGTTGGTTTCAATCACTTCTTTTGTTTTGCCAGTCTCTTCAAATGCAGACTTCATTTCAATACTAAGAAATTTGCACACTATAGAAATATAAAGAACATATTCAGGGCCAGAAGAGGAACAGAAAGCAGCTGTGCCTCAAACCCTAGTGTGCTGCCTACATAGACAGCATTGTTTGTCATTACAGACCCATTCAACGTTCCAAACATGCAGCCTAGGTAGGCATCACACTAGGTTTTGAGACATATCCAGTGAGGTCCGTTGAAAAGAGGAAATCTGCTGCTCTTGTTTTTTCCCCAGTATGTCAATGCAATATTTTGAATGAATAATTATTAGATTTAATGAATAAAACGAGAAATAATTAAATAAAATGAAAAAAGGTCTTACAACTGTTATGAAACAAAAAAGCAGATTGCTATTGATACACATGGACATCTGCACTGAGTATGATAACATATCTCAGACCTATTATATCGTGTAAAATATGTGTCTGCGATTGCATTCAAAAATTTTTATCAAGCGCTGAAAATAAGTGTGGAAATGCACAAGCGATTATGGTGTATTTAAAGCAAAATTTTGACTCATTATAAATTAGGACAGTCTACCTTCACATTTATTTGGCAGATGCACCCAGTCATCGTCCCCGCTTTTGTTAGCAGCTGCGACACTTACGAGAAACAACACGACGCAGATAAAAACATTCATTTTGTTAGTAGGACATATTTACAATGCGCAATACTAAAATACCGAACATGCTTATTTATCTAGCCACTATTCTTCTGAAGCTTTCACTTCCGCTGTGGCAGGTTGACGCAGACGCTGCGCGGAGTGGACCAATCACGAACGCCGCAGTGGCATGACGGAGCCAATGAAAAACGTGGGCGGGATCCAAGACATCACGCACTAGACTAGAGATGTTTATGAAAGAACGGCTTGGTGTATTTTTGACAGTGCACTTAATTTAAATATAGAAAGAAAAGGAACGTTTTCTTGAATATTGTAGAATAAGCGGACCCGGTTCTAGAATACGTTTTCGTTTTGAAATTAGCTCAATACAAATAAAATATACCAAAGAAAGTGTTTTAAATAGCGGAGCTTTTGTGCAATGGATGACGCACCCAC